TTTTCGGTAAGAACAGCCCTGAATCTCCCTTTTCTCTCTTGATTTAGGCTTGGGTTTACCTTGAATTGTGTTTTGGTTTTTGGATTGGGTAGCCGCGAGTTCCCCTGCAGAATTTCTTCTTCTCTGCCGTCGGCTTTTCTCCCCCTGCTAGGCTCGGTTTTGCTTGCTAAATTCTGGTAAGTTGCCGGCTTTTCCAAGCTTAAAATTTCCCATTTAATTGCTGGGTTTTGCCCACTAGTTGATGCTCTGTGTTGTCCGAATCTGCTGGGATAGGGGATGAATTTGGCAGCCCTTTTAAATGTGTTTTAAGCTTGATTAAGTAGAATTTAGCTTGAATTAGCTGTTGTGATGTTTGGGTGAAAATCCTGTGTGTGTAAGTGTGGTTTGCCAAAGCCATGCTCTCCTGCCCGTGAGATTGGGGAAATTTTGGGTAGCTTTAAGCTATGTTTTTAAGTGTGGTTTATGTAGAAAATTAGCTTGATTTGGCCTGTTGTGATTTTTGGAGAAAACCCGTGAGATTATTTTGGAGGATTGCAGTCACTGTTCACTGCGGATCACTGTTCACGGGCACTGTTCACACACCGAGGGTCAATAATTAACGGGGATTTAAATGATTAGTTTGTGATATAAGAACGAATTTGGAGATGTTTAATCATGTGGATATTGATAGGAATAGCACCGTGATTAGGGGTGATCTTAATGATGATTTCAGTTTGAATTTGTGGTAATACGATAATTAATTGTGGATATTTTGATTAGGTTTCCGATCGTTCTGTTAGTTAGCATTGAGATTGAATCTTCAGTTTATGCGAGTGAGGTAAGTAAATTATGGTAAAGCCCTTTGATTTTAAAGCATATTTTAAACTGTTTTTGAGATGGTGGCAAGGTTTAAATTGATTTTATCAGCATCTGAGTGTGAGTAAATTGAAATGAAAATTTGATTGATTTTCATGAGAATTTCCTCGTTTTTCTGAAATTGAGTATGATTGGAATGAAAATGAGGATTTTATTGATTTTCTGGAAATGAGCATGATTGAGAAATGAAAATGAGAATTTCATTGTTTTTCTTGAATAGAGCATGCCTATTTGGGAATTGACTGAACTACTTTGATGAACTGAGAATTTTGTAAATGTTGAGTTTTCTGTTAAATCCATGCCTGCATGGAAATTTTCCGGTTTGTTCTAAAATTCAGGATTGATTGTGAAATTCGGGTTTTTTTGTAAATCCTGCATGGTTTTGTCTCGGATATAGTTATGATTATTGATGATCTTGCTAGTGGGGGTTAAAC